TGGTTAAAACTTTTGAATTTTTATTTATATCATAAGGTGACAAACGAGCGAACGGCCACCTGAAATAGCGAAGTGACCGTTGCCCATAGACATACGCAATTGCATATTCGTTGCCAAATCGACGAAGGAGGATGTACAGAAAGAAAATATTTTCCCTTTCCATGCATCCTCTCATCCGGAAAGTCCACTTCCACTTCCCATCCTTTCCTTATAACAAAAAGTGTGGGAAGTGAAAAAGGACTAAATTAGGCCTCCGGGACGCACACTCATCAGACGAAACGCGGAATTGCTTCCACTTGACGCCTGTCTTCTGTGTAGTCGTGGTATTTTCCCGGGCGAGCTGGGCCAATTCGTGCGAAGACGTTAAAGCGGGCTCTATGAAATTGATACCACATACTTTTATATTGGTGTTTTGTTTACTACAAATTAGTCTTCCTAGATAAAATGTTCTGTTCCCAAGTATTTCATAGTTATAAACTAATTAAAAACGGCTACACTCAGGTTTAACTAAACGTGAGTGGGTTTGTAATAAGTTTATGTTAATAACTCGTGAAAGTTTAAACATTTTTATTAATTTTTAATACGCAAAATCTTTTCTCGATTCTCTTCTTCCCGAAAACATTTCTTTTACTTCAACTTCTTAGATAAGTCGTCATTAATATAAAAGAGGGAAGTTAATGACGTCCGATTTTACAACTGGTACTCATTAAAAAGATAAAAATCTAGTAAGAATGTTCAATTTTTCACCTCCATATTACACTGAGGATATTTAATTTCATTTCTACAACATCTTAAAGAAATCCATGCTATGCAGTTGTTTTTTAAAATAAATAAATAAATCTTCGTATTAAAATAGGGTTAATTTTGTGACACAGTTGTGTCATAAAATTAAAAACAAATATAGTCGATTAGCAAGCTAATGGGAATTGAAAAGAAGTTCCCTAATTTGTTTTCCTTTAGTTTTCACAACTGTTTAGACTCATTATGTCCCATATTCTTACAGAAAGACTTAGAAGTTCTCAATTTAATATTCTTTTCATCGATATGTAACCTATACTTAGATGGAGTGTTTCATACAAGTTTTACGACTAATCAAAAGTCGATTTTCTATTGATTCTTTTGTTTTTAGTTTAGCTTGTTAGAAAAATTAATTTTATTTACATTTTCTGATTTTAACAAGTGCAAATATTAATTCTAAATATGCAGCTTTTAAACTGTAATATTTAAATTAATACAATTGTCGTGAAAATATATATGTTTAAAAAAGACCCTAAATTTTAGGACAAGGTCACTTCAACTCAGGAAATGCTTTAACAATGACCTTAATCAACACTTATTACGTGACACGATAACACGCATTCCCTAATAACACTCACTGACCTTTTACCCGGCAAAAATATAAAATGAATATCCTATTATTCGATACCGAAAAAACTGATTTTAAACATTCCTGGAAAAGGTAAAAGAAACTTGTAGCGAATGCATTTACCTGTCAGATTGTTATAGTTTCTCGATCATATCGTCATATTCGTTATTTTATAAGACAAAGAAACAAACGGGCGATGGACACTCCGAGGTGATGTCAAAAATTACAATCAATAGCAGTTCTTCGCTATTTTAGATCATAGTTTCCAAGTATCTAAACAATTTCTTCATAAACTTGGATTTTTTATAGCACACTAGTTAGGTATTGTTAGAAAGAAAACCCGGAAATGAGCCAGTGTATTGACTCAACACTGGCCTTATTAAAATGTCGACGTTCGTGTCCCCTCACTATTCATTCTGACACTTGACTTTGTGACGAAAGCACGTCATTCGCGCCAAATCATTCTAATTAATAATGTTTAAAAGTAGGGACTATCACTGCACTAAAATCCATTCTAAACACCAGGCTAAAAAAATATTAAATAGTGGATTAGGTACAGCGAACTTTTTTTAACTAGTGCTCTCGTTTAAAACCATCGTGTAATTACTTAGGTAGGAATCGTTTTGATATTATAAAAGCACTCCAATTATCTAAATTTGCTATTTATATTAATAGCAAAATACAAGATTTTTTTTAACTTACTACTAAAACAATAGCATTTACTGAACTCGCTCGTATATTTCGACATCACTTAACATCGGTTTCATGATTGTAAACAATTCATTGAAAAAGAAGCGAGATTGAAGGGCGAAAATTGTATTTTAGTAAATAACAATAAAAAGAAAATAAAGAATGTCAGGTCATTACGCTGGTATCTCAAGTTATCAAGTGACTAAGGTTGAGGCGTCAAGGACATTTCATTTGCCAGTACTCTTTGATTTATCACTTTCAACGTTTCCACTTTAAAAGGGACGATTTTTTTTCGACTCCGTGTATTTATTATTGTTTCTTAAATAACTTTATTATAAATACGCAATCCTCTTGCACAAAATATACATAGTTATTGGACGATACATTTATTAGAATTTTCCTATCGATATAAAATATTACATCTCTTTCTTCATAAGTATGAATATATGACAATGAAATACGCTGGTGCAGACGGTGATATCTATAATGCAAGGCTCCATACAGAAGGCATTTATTTTAGAAAGTGGAGGTTAGGAGGTTCCTATCACTGTAGCCCTGACCACTGGCTGTTTGAATCATGACGATTCCGTGCCAGTGGCGCACTATTTTTGTATAATATTTTTTTTTGTTAAAAATTGTAAAGTACACAATGTTTAAATAAGTTAAATAAATGTATATATGTAACTGGAACGTGGTTTACAGTTCAGTGTCTCATCATTGACCGTTCAGACATATGACGTGTACTAACACGTATGTTACGACTCTCTCGTTCGCACAATGAGACACGGATCGGAACGGAGATGGCCCATCAAATGATAATGGATGAACAACCGAAGGGGCCTGGACAGTCGCGCGATGATATGCGCACAAGTTATTCGTACTATATACATGAAATTATATACATATATAACAAGGATATACTTGAAAAGTATATAACAGTGCAATTTAGTGTACTATTGTGTTTTTTTGGTGTTTTGTGGAATATAACATAATATGTGTGTGATTGACAATCTGTTCATTTATAATTATTGAATAAAAACTCATGCGGATCGATTAAATTTTTAAAGTACTAGTAAATGTAATATTACATTCTTTTCTTTAGGTAAGCTTCCATTTTGGATACGTTTGCTATTAGAATCGCTACTTTTCTGTACCATAATTTATAATACAATATGAGAAGAATATATATCACGCCTTTCTTAACACTAACTGTATTGGTTTCTTTACATTCATATTTGTATTATAAACTATTCTCGAATACTTAACATTACTAGCTGTCGCACACGACTCAGGCCGCGTGAAATAAAATAAGACTATTAGTTCCTGGCGATTATTCAAATTTTCTCACCTTTTAAACCTTCCCTACAACCTGCACGAACATTTCAAGACCAACATAAGATAAATCCGTTAGCCATTTTCGAGTTTTAGCGAGACTAACGAACAGCAATTAATTTTATATATATAGATGATGAAATAAATGAAAAGCATAAGTAATGAAACATTAGTAAGAAGTGGGCTAATAAATTATGCGTGTATCAAAGACGGGTGTGGCAAAATGAAATGACACTAATTGGTTCCAAATTGATAGGTTCGACAACTTTAACGATTTATCATAGAACACATTAAGTTATTAACCGTGTAACACACCCGAAGCACCTGCGATTTTATGTAGGTGTTTAGAGGCAGTGAAAACTCACATTTATATATCCATAGCTGTTGTCCGCGACTCCATCCGTGCGGGATTAAAAAATAGATAGTAGCCGATTCTCAGACTTTCCGAATACGCGTATGACATTTAATGAAAATAAGTCAAGCCGTATCGGAGGAATATGGTGACTAACATTATGACGCGAGAATTTTATATAATGGATTATAAACGTATTGTTAATTTTCTTTGTTCAAAAGCATAAAAATTTCTTTGAAAACTTGAAAGTACTTTCCACTTAAATAAATTCAGGCTCTTACATTCAATGGGTTTCCGAGCCCTTGATTCACGCAAATAATCGAATCATTCAGTTATTTTAAATTTCCCCGCGGAGAGGAAAGCGATTCGTGTTCCTGATTTGTTTTCTAAACCAATAAGCTCTATAGATTAAATAACGTAATTTACCTCGAAACATATAAACGAGGGCGTGATATTTGTTTAGGATTTTGTAATTATTTATTCTTTGTAGTATTGTTAGCCTTGAAAAAAAAACAATGCTATGAGTTAAAATTACATGGCGCCCTATCCGATTGTTAGAGAACATTATTACTATGTTACCTATAGTATTAAAAAACAGCCTTAGTCAGTAGCTTATGTTTTCTTCTAGACTATGTTTGAATATGTACCAAATTTCTTAAAGATCGGTTAAATCATTCTAGACGTATTTTTTTACAAACATCCATCCCTCGGCACATTCATATTTTCGCATTTATAACATTAGCAAGATTGTAACTAATGAACACACATCTATACAAAAATTATAAAAAAAACATGATATATTTATACTTATTATAAAAAATTACGATTTTCCCAATATAATTCTAATAGAGTTCTTTCTTATTCGCTATTTTAGGAATTTAGTGCGAAGCGATCGGTTAAGCTTTTAACTTACTCCCAAAGGCTCTTTTTAGACAGCCCCGGCTTAGTCCGTTGTTTTGACGCATTTGATTTCCCAGTGCAGGAAACTGGAGAGTTCCGAAGCTCGGCTAATGAATGGCCTTTATTTTTGTGCGATTGACAAGAGGATTACGTTTTTCTCGTATATTATTCGTAATTTTAGGATAACCCATTACAGATTTTGTAAACTGGTAATAAACTTAATGAATAAAACAAGACAAAACCCCCATGGATTATTTTTTACTAAAATTATATATACTTTGAAAATAAAATATCTCTTTTTCTTTCGTTACTTTGAAACTTTTTAAATGAGAGTTTTGTCTTAACAGGACTATCGGGTAGCGGCCTGAACATGATCTAGTATCCAAGACCACTGGATACCTATCATTACCTCGCCAGAGAGAAGGTCATACGTTTACAGTTCATTAATGTAAGTAGGAGTTTATATTCGATTTTTGATAAAAATGTTCAATAATTATTTTTGTTTATGAGCGTATTCCGAGCTTGAATTGAGGTGAATCATGGGATTCTTCAAGAACTGGATACATGTATTTTTACCCTTTGAAATGGTTAAAGTAGGAATGGATAGATAAAGATGTAAAAGAACTGGGTATAAAGTGAAAATGTTTTGGGTCCCTCATAAAGTGAAAAAAAAACTTGTTTTATTCTCGACTGTTTTATAGATATCAACTGGATTATAGTAGTTAAATAATGAACGATTAAACAAATAACTAACGTCCCTATAGTAACATTTGCCACAGCTGAAGTCGACGCAAGTTTTAGTTTTCTAATTTAACATCTTTTTACCATCAGGTTGTCGACAATGTTGGTGCGCTGGCTCATGATATTGTGCGTGGCGCTGTGCGTGCGACATGTGGTGTCTCAGGGCACGCAGCAGTGCCCTGCCTCCAACACCATCACGCCCTGCAGCTGCACGGTCAAGAAGAACGGCCTTGACATACTCTGCGAGTTCACGGAACAACAGCACATACAAAAGGTAACACGAAATGCCTGATGATGATAACATGACTTCAAAAATTCTATTTAGGGCATTCAAACACTCAGAACTATTTAACAAGCAACCGATACCACGGATTTTGATTCTACAATTGTTACAAGGACGGCCTTTGTTTCAAGGTTAACTTTTCTTTTTACAGATATGGTATCCCCAATCGCCTGTACCTTACTCAAATATTCAAGTGACAGTTTTTTTAACATCTAATACATAAATAGCCAAAAACATTAGTTCAATTTTGGTTACCAAATACTTCTTTTTATGTGATATATAAAATGTAATAAATATATATTCAAACGATAAACATAACATCGTTGAATATGTAACGAAGATGGTTAACTTTATTTTATTTCCAGGCAATGAACACGCTACGATCAAAGCCGATGATAATATTCTACCTAAAACTCCGGCACAACAACTTAGCGAAGCTTCCCTCGTACATTTTCCTGGGGCTTGACATACGTCACCTTACAGTACATAACAGTAGCTTGGCTGTTATCGAAGATTCCTCACTCAGCTCGATTGGTAAATATCAAATTTCACGAAAAAAAATGAAACAAGAGATAATTGTTGATATTATTCGTAAACTTTGAAGATGTTAATTACAATACAAGTCAAGTAACTATTTTACGTAAATATAAAGTAGTAGTTGTCGCACGCAACTCTGTGCGGAATTAAAAAAAAAAACTTAATTTATAGCCCATGTGCTTCCAGACTATGTTCTACATACATGCCAAATTTCATCGTGATCTGTGGAGCGGTTTTCGAGATACCTTCAAACAAACATCAACCCATCCATCAATCTAAACATCCGCATTCAAAATATTAGTAAGATACCTTATGTTTGAGGCAGTGACTACATTGATGTTTTCATTGCAGGCAACAAGTTGACGCAACTCGATGTATCCCAAAACAGTCTAGCGACTATACCGACATCTTCGTTTACGCATCTCAATCATTTACTGATACTCAATATGAATCACAATAAGGTAACATAACACTCTGAAAGAGTGGTATAGTAAATATGTATTCGACCAAAGATCTCACGGTTCCAACAAAAGTATTTTTTTATCTCTATAAATATGTTTAATTTGTCTATAATTTTAAGTTATGAAAGGAATTTAGACATTATTAGCTAGACTCATTTGCCGTGAATGGTGTGCTTTTATTACAAAGTCAAATGTCAGAATGAAGAGGGAGGGCACAGTGTTGGATTTTCTTCCTAACACAAGTGATAACTATTAAGGCTACCTTTATGCTATCTCTGTTTCTAGTTAAGTTAACCCAAAGGTATATTTTTTATAAGCTTTTAGATAAATATAGGTTGCAGTTTTAGTAATAAGTTTTATTTTAACGAACAGTAAACTGAGAACTGACAAATTATAGGTTAACGTTAACGTTAACTATTACTTTATTTTTTATTTGGCATATATTTACACATTGTGGCTAGACTTTGCAATCTAAGTGCATAACTAAGTTCAGTAAAAATCAGAACAATTTTCTATGTGACTAATGTTACCCAGTCACGAAGTTATTTAAAGGGATTTGAATATGTACATATTTATGTATCCCGACCAACTGTCTGTGACCTATTTACAATTTTCGTGTGGTATTTCTGTTTTGGTAATATTACAAAGAAGAGCGTCGGTGGCTCAGGGGTCAAGTACTCGACTTGCAATCTGCAGGTCCTGGGTTCGAATCCCGCCATGTACCAATGTATTTTTCGATTTACGATTTACATATGTACATTTATCCGATGTTCTTACGGTGAAGGAAAACATCGTGATGCAATCTGCACATATTTTAGTTACATCACATACTAGCTTTCACCCACGACTTCGTCCGCGCCAAATAAAAAAAAACATAATTGGCAGCCTATGTGTTCTTCCAGACTCTGTTCTATATATATGCAAAATTTCATCGAGATCCATTCAGCCGTTGATACCATCAAACAAACATCCATCCATTTAAACATTTGCATCTATGTTTTATATTAGTAAGATTTTTTTTATTAATTATTTTTCATTTGTCTAGGTAACTGCGGTGCATAACAGAGCTTTTATTGGACTTGATACATTAGAGATATTAACTCTATATGAAAACAGAATATCAGTTGTAGACGCTGAAGCTTTTAAAGGCCTGGAAAAGTAAGTACTTTGACCGACTACGTTGTTAAATTGGATTGCACTCGATAGGTCATTCACCTCGCAATTCAATTTAGTTCTCTTTTGTTCTTTCTAACACAGTTTTATACAATAAAACGGTGGAAAACGACAGACTCCCTGATATCCCCTTAATAGCGATAAGAACCCTGCCTTTAAAAATATGCAAAAAGTTAGGATATTCCCGATTGCCTATGTATAAACGAATGATGAAAATTTAAAGGATATTTCCCTTTTATATAGTTGGATACCTCGTTGCATATAGAGAGGTCCTGTCAGATCCATTGCCATCTATTAGAAAAGGTTGGAAAGGAGAAAAGGACTACAAGTAGCCTACGGCATTTTTTCGGCGTTATTTATTTCGATTGCTAAACTTCTTGCTAATAATAATATATATTATTTGTACAGGAAGCTCAAAAGATTAAATATTGGCGGTAACGAATTGACAGCTGTACCGCAAAAGGCATTAGCTTTATTGGAAAATTTGAAAAAGTTGGAAATGCAGGAAAACCGGATAACTTCGATATCAGAGGGTGATTTTGCAGGTTAGTATTTCTTTAATTAACGTAGTAAATACAAAGCTGTTATGTTTCGTGTTATGAGTAGAGAGAAGAAAATTGGGTCTATCATTCTTTTCCTTGTCTTTTTTGACTAATTAAGTTAGGTAAAACAATTTGCAAATACCTCAGCTTTATTTTACGTAATTTTTTAATGTTAATACGTAGCTGCCATGTTGGACTATATGTCCGACAAGCTAATGTTTCAATCAGGCCATGTCGGACTAAGTGTCCGACAAGCCATACTTCCATTCAACAGCTCGCTTTGGCAATGTAAATACGGTATTATTATATTTTTAGGTGTTTTCAAATGGTTTTGGACAAAATTAAAAAAAAAATCGTTTTTCGAAAAATGATTCGGGCAGCTAACGTGTTAACTATATGAACATTGTTCACAGGTTTACGAAACTTAGATTCTTTAGGATTGGCACATAACCAGCTCAGAGAAGTACCAGCACAGGTTTTCTCTCATTTAACATTTCTTAACTCTTTGGAATTGGAAGGAAATCAAATACAGAGGATCGATGAAAAAGCATTCGCCGGTCTTGAAGGTAAAAAACACAACTCTAATGTTGTAACACATAAAAAAATACAGCTATCTCTACTACTCCGAAAGAAACAAGAGAGATAGCAATAAGTTTTTGTGAAGTTGTTTCGGTAGTAAAAAGTCACCGTTTCATAGTAAACAATGTTATTGTTAATTAATTGTAAGGCGTGAATTATACAAAGTAAATTTGCCTTCGCCTTACACCGCTTCTGTATAATTCGCGCCTAAGAGTTATATATTTCTACAGAAAATCTACAATACCTTCGTCTCGGCGATAATCGTCTTCATGACATTCCTTCGGAAGCTCTACGTCCATTACATCGACTACGGCATTTGGATTTGCGATCAAACAACATAACTTACATTAGCGAGGACGCATTCACTGGATACGGCGACTCTATAACATTCCTAAATTTACAAAAGAACATGTAAGTAACTTTAATATTGTGTTTTATTGTCTCTTCAATTTCCGATATTGGTCATATGAGTCGTGTTTTAATTAGGAAATATTATAATTATAAATTGTTCTAAGTTATAATGACATATTAACTTTTATTTTAAATAACAGACGTTCAAATCAGTTTTGTAAAGTGTGGAACTTTTGAGCTGTTTAACTTTTAATTAGTATATCACTTTAGTCAAAATTAAATTGTGCTTAAACTCACGATATTGTTTTTAAATTGAATTTCGTGCTGATTTTACGATCCATGAAGCAGATGGGCAATGGGTTAACATTAATTAAAAATTATCCTAATTAGCTCTCTTGGACGTGTTTTAACTTTTAATTTATTTGCCTGATTAGTAATCTATTTTATTTGGGAACAGGATTCATCAATTGCCGACAATGGGCTTCGATAATCTCAACTCTCTGGAGACGCTCAATCTACAGAACAACAAACTACAACATATTCCCGAAGAGATAATGGAACCGATATTGGATACTTTACGAGTTGTCGATATTATGGGTAAGTACAATTTAATTATAATTTCTTTCCATCTACGTAATAAAAAACAAATGAAGTTTAAATTAAAACCTAAACAATAGGCATTTAACATAACAACCCAATAAGAGCTAATCCAAAGAAAAGATAAGAAAAATCCTCCGTTCTGGGGTCATCTCGACCTTGATCCTTGATCGTCTTGGACTTAAAAGTCTTGTTGCCTTTTCCACCCTACTTTTGTAGCTGTATCTGTAGAACAGTCGATTTCACTTAAGCGTTAAAAATTAAGTTGATTCTGTTAAGTTAATTTCCGTATATTTTAGATAATCCATTGATTTGCGACTGCGAGTTGGCCTGGTATGAAGCGTGGCTCTCAGGTCTCAGAGACAGAGACGACGAGATGATGCAGAAGAAGCGTACTGTCTGCACCATGGTCAACGAGCATCGAGAATACAGCGTTGCCAAAATGCCCCTCGAGAAGATGAGCTGTAAAAGGAAACCACCGTACGGCCGACCTTCAGGTGCAACCAAAATTAAACCAATAATAGCGATAAATGCGTTACTCATCATCGCCGCTAGATGGATCTAGAATTAAAACTGTCAAATACTAAAGTGATTTAAATTAACCCTTTTAATTTAAACGCGAAACGTACATTATGCTAGCTGTGGCCGGATAGCTAAATGATACGTATTCGCTTTTATGTATTCAGTTGAAAAAACTTTATAACGTGATGAATTTGTGCAATAAACTACGATACATATCAATTTTGGGCTGAGTAGAACAAAATTAGTAATATTTGGGAGGGAATAAATTGTGATAAGAGAAAGATATAATGGATGGTTTTTTTAAAGAGTCGTGTAAGTTAGTGTTATACACTAAATAAAAAATCGTTTACAACAGATATGCCTTATTGTAGTTATGCACGTAAGAGCAAATGTAATAAAACGACTACATTTTATAATAAAAAAGGCAATAAAAACTCTTTGCTTATCAATTGGAAATGAAAGTATTAACGCTGCTAAAATCTAAAATGTTAACAACTTAAGCACAATTCTTATTTAAATATTATACCTTAATGTAAAACAAACTTGTAATATTTTTTATCATTTACTCCTTACCTTTGTAATGTATTTGTATCTACATGTATTAAAGCTTTTGCTCGTTTACCATGTTGACTATTACAATATTGACATTATTTATAATCTCTATACTTCTAAGCACTTGGGATTCGATGACTATTTATATTCATGTATTCAAAACTTCTAATAAACATTATATGTGTCATATTCATAAAGATTACCTTCGTAATGCTACCTCTTTTTAGTATGTTATAATTTAGCTTTATTGTGCAAAGTCCTGTTATTATGGAGCCTCTGAATGTTCGATTTTGTGTAGATTAGAAGTATAGTGGAATAAGTGTTAGAGTATTATTATATAAAATATGTTGTTATTATATTTAGAGTGTTCAATCGGTTGCGGTTAATCTCATAACCTATATCGAGTTTTAATTTTATTTAGATTATTTCAAATTTCGATTACTAGGTTTTCTTGTATTATATTATTTTTGTTTTTTTTTCAACATGATTGCTCATGAATACAACTTTAATTTCTTTAGAGAAATAGCATTATATTCTAGAATAATAATAAATGTGACTTTAAACTTTATTTGCTTATATAATATCATAAGTATATTTTTGCAAATTATCGTGAGCTATCATTTTGTTTGTTAATATTAAAAAATTATTCTGCACACATTGCTATTATTTTTCTTAAGGCATTTGATTTAGGCATTTCATTAACTTATTAAGTGTATTCTGAAATGTATGTGAAACAGAATTTATTCACGTGATAAATTGAAACATAAAACATATCCCTTTAGTCTGATATAAGTCGTATATAATAAGTATATCGTTGTTAAAATATATATACACGTTTAGCGTAAATGTCGAAGTCTTCGCTAATATTTGAGATTTCAATTTACGATGTTTAATATATCAATCTTATGTATAATCGTGTAATATTGTAAAAGTAAATGTGTATCGTGTGAAAGACGCGAGATTGAATATCCTTTTGTAAGGTAATATTCATTTTCACACGTTGAACACATTTACAAATATATTTCGTAGATTGTAATTTTTAAAACATTAATAGTAAAAACTTTTATTCTTTATTTTTCTATTGTTTAAATTTTGTTAAAATGAATTATTACTAATTACTTATTACTTTTGTGTATTGTTTTTTGATTAAACTATGAATAGCATTTAAAAATAGTTAAATATTGTTACATTTTTAAATTCATTCAAACTTTTTTCTTTTTTCGATATCAGAGTCAAGGAAACCTGATTAGTTAATATGTAATTTACTATTAAGACATTTACTATTCTGTCTATCTTTATCGATGTTATAAATGTTGTGCTGCGTAAATTTTAAACATATTTATGTCTAAGATCTGATGCAAGATAAGCAGTGACAATAGAATTGCAATATTGCTACAATTTTATCTCCTGCTATCAAGGTTAATCTTCTTTCATATATTAAGCTAGGAAATGTATCAACAACCTTCTCTTATTGCAGTTGTCACTTCGCCATTTTGAATATATCAGCTGTTTGTCGTTTGGTACCATAAAGAAACAGAAAATTAGAGTAATTAAATGCTATATTACTCTTTTTTATCTAAGATAGGAAGGAAGGTCAGGCAATCGAGTGATCCAAGGAACCAATTTCATACATATCGATATCGTGAGAAAAATTTGTTAACAATTTAGAGCTAATTACTCCACTTTTCAAAATTTGCATATCAACTAGAGTAGTACGTTATAATTACATATATGTATTTGTTGTTGTCGATTAAATATACATTTATAATATATATTGTTAAAGTAGTTAATCGTTCTATTATAGAATAACATTTGTGTATGGATTTAAATTGTTTCTTATATAAGAATCAATTTAATATATGATATATATAAAAATATGACTCTAACACATGTAAATACACAATGATGTTTTTCTGATTATTCTGAATTCTATATTTCTTCAAATAATCATAAAGTTAATCAGTTTAGAGTCACATTTATTAATTAATAATTATGTAGCTCTGATTCTAATGATACATTTTTCTTGTAAAGATGTATTTAATTTTAATTTAAAATAAAAATGAAAATGAGTATGCATTGAGTTTTCTTTAACTATTTTGTATACCCCTTACATTCTATATGGTAGCATACATTCTATATGGTAGCATACATTCTTATAGTTTTCTTTTTTATATCATTAGGTGGCAAACGAGCGAAATAGCGAACTGACCGTTGCCCATAGACATACGCAAATGCATATGCGTTGCCCACCTTTAATCTACGGAGGAGAGGATTCACAGAAAGAAAATATTTTCGCTTCCCATGCATCCTCTCATCTGGAAGGTCCACTTCCACTTGTCATCCTATCCTTATAAGGAAAAGGGTGGGAAGGGAAAGAGGACTATATTAGGCCTCCGGGACGCACACTCGTCAGACGAAACGCGGAATTGCTTCCACTTCACGCCTGTCTTCTGTGTGGTCGTGGTATTTCGCCGGGCGAGCCGAGCCAATTCGTGTGAAGATGTTAAAGCGGGCTCTACCACTGTTAGTTACATAAAACTATAGTAGTGGGGATAGTTGTAGCGACTAGCACGTGTTATAAAGGATGTTCTTGAAAGTGTAATCAGGTCCCGCAATGTGTTCTAAGGATTAAAGCTTAATTTTAAAGCATATGGAAAATTAGAACATCCTAATTCTAAATAAAGTTGAACGTAAATATTTGGGGGAAAATAAATGAATAAAGAATTACTATAGAGCTTCCTTTATCGTAGTTGAGGTTGAGTTGACCGGATGAAATTAATTAATCAGCTAAAATTACATACTATCTTAAAAGCAAGGGCCCGGGAAACCCTTTTTAATAAATCAAATAACGCAAAAGTAAAAGCAATTTCAATCTAACGAATAAACAGTAGGAATTAAAATTGATAACGAGAAACTTAATATAAACATCAGAAAGTTTGAACGAAATAATTTTAAATTATTATAAATCACTGGATCTTTGCTTCATCTTTATAATTTGAATATGGACATTGAAGTGCGCTTTTTAAACTTCGTATTGTATTTGATTTCGTTTGTTTTTATATAGAAATCGATATTAGGAACTCAAGATTTAGTAAAGTGTGAATAAATGGTTAAAAAAACTATTCTTTACCATAAAGTGTCAAAAAAAGAAATCCTTATCTACAGAAATAAAACTCAATGTGGTAGGTACATAATGTAAGAGACAAACACACTGGTTAAGTCGTAATAAACTTTAGGAACCTACTAGTTCTGAGTTTGTGTCAAAAAAACATTTTTTTTCTGCCCAAATGTTACACTGTGATTAATTTTGACTTTATGGATGTCTTATTTTACATCGAATAGCAGCGGTTAATGGATTCAGCGATTAATTTATAAAAATGTTGTATCTTTTACAGAATTTTATACGGGTAATAGTAATTTATCATGTGAGTTAGTTAAAATAATCCCGTGAGCGATAAAGTTCGATTAACGCAATAAAAGTACTCGACTTCTTACAGCAATACTTAACTTGGTCCATAAACTTTCTTTTATGGTTAGAAATAATTCCATTCTCAACTTTTAACACCCTATAAAAGAAACAAGATTGTTCAGTTGATACCATAAAAATGTCTTACTACCCCTGATATAAAAGAAGAAAAGTTTTCCAAGATAAAAAGATTTCTTTATGGTTTAAATTTTGCTTCTTTACTTTTATTTTTGGAAACTATTCTTGGATTTATTTACTAATAGGAAGAGAGAAAGTAAAATAGGCACATCTTTTTAAGTTGGTACTAAATTTTAGAAATTAATTGTCAGGGGATAGAGCTCGATGCTTATACTAAAATATCTTACACGACATTAATCAAATATCAGGAATTTAGTCCACGGTGATGAGATCCTTAGTTAGTACTTCTAACCAATGGCCTAAATATGCCCCTTACGTGAGCCATTTTTATGATTTAATATGTTAGAAACACAAATAAGTATTATTCAGAGTTAACTGAGTAAATTGATACATACGACGCAACATAGGAACTCAGATAATGTTCGTTGTGTAACGAAGCTTTTGTGTGAATAACTGATACGAAACTTGAACGTTGAATTTCAATACACCAATTACTCTTACTGTGTGGAGTAATTTATTTCAGTACTGAAGCCCCACAAATTTGCATTTAGATTTTCATTTGCCATCGATAAAAGCCACAACCGAATAGTTAATAAGCTAGTGTAGTGCAATATACGAGTACGTTTTTATTTAACTGTAGAACTCCATTATTGATATATTCAAATAAAAACTTATTGGCTTCTCAATTTTCTTAAGGCAAATGAAAAAGACGTCGGTATGTTGTATGAATTTTTGTAGCAGTGGAAACTGACGGTAATCTGCTATTAATATTTTTCGAGTATAATGGTAACTTAAGATATGTGTGAAATCAACCAACCCAAACTTGGCCAGCGTGGTTGACTATGGCCTAATCACCCTTAACTTAGGGTAGGCTCCGAGCCCCTCGGTGGGGACGTATAGTGAGCTGATGATGATGATAATGGTAACTTATATAATTAAGAAATTGCTTTTTATTAAGGTCTATGCTGGATAAGTAAAGATACAAAGACAAAATGCGAAAATATCTATACTTAATTGTTTTGAAGAAAAGCTGAATAAAAAGAACATATTTTTTTTCTTTACACTTATCTTTCAAAAGGATTGCTGAAGCTGTTTGATTTTTAATTTATATTACTAGTCGAATTATTAGTTAAAACAAATAACCACAATAACGCCCTTTAATAACGCGGATGCAAAATCACGTGGTTTTAATTTCGTTCAAATTTCCATCCAATATATTTGTGCAGGTACTACTCGGGCCGCCGCTTTAATGACATTTTCGAAGCCCTGATGGCAAAATTTACAATTTGCCTAAATTATCGTGAAAATACATTTTCATTTGGTTAGTATTGGTTTTGGCTAATATCGGAAATAATTTTACGAGGTGATATTTAATGAATCTTTTTTTTAATTATGATTTTATCTTACTAATTTATCATAATAGTTTAGATAGATGGATGGATGGATGTTTGGAATATAGCCTGGGAAATAGCCTGGAGGAACACATAGGCTACTTATTAAGCGTTTTTTAATTCCGCGAGGGCGAAGTCGCGGGCAACCGCTAATTGTACAAAAGTGTATAAAATAACCACAATTTTACAATAAATGCAATAATTGATTGCCATTGCCGATTAACATGTCCAAGTAATTTAGTAAATTGTCGAAAGTCAATTGATTTGCAAGGACAGCACGTACTAATGTGTGATATAAAAAGACCCCGTCATTCAATTTACAAGAAATTTTAAATTAAATTATGAGTAAACAAATAAAACGTATGAAGTTAATATGAATTGATATTGCATTTGTATTATTTTGCAGACAATTGGTACCTATATTTTTGCGATGCATAACCGTGTTTCACTGACATCTCTTTCTTTTTCTTCGACAAAATAGAGACAACAATATTTATAATACAAGAGTCACCGCACTTAAATTCTATGGTGAATCTCATGCGCTGTAACGCAATATTAACTTTTTTTTTGCCTAATCTGTCATCCATTACACTTTCGATATAACTTTATTGTCACACTTTATCAGTGATACCGATTAGTGGAAAGGACGATTGGCCGTATCAGTTCATTTTCACTGTCAAGAGCTTTATTAAGCGTCAAACTCGACAGTCGCACTTGCTAACTAGCCGAAAACATACAATAGTAGAAATAGGTTTTTATTATGCAAATCGTTAGCAGAGATTTCAACGAAAAACGTAATTCAACTTTGTCATCTTTTGTAAGGTAAGTGTTACAATTGTTATATATGCAAGTACTATGTTTAGTACTGAATAAAGGACTACCTTTCTTGGTAAGAAACTGATCTTGGTTTTCTGGTTCTTTTTCATGTGGTTAGGCACGATTATTGCATGTTAATTAACCGAAATATGTTTTTTTTATATTTCTATTTATTTTTCTTCTTTTCCTGACATTGCCAGATTTGTTTTAATAAGGAACCTGAATTCAAAAAGTTTTTATGAAATAATTTGGAATTTAGTGAATGGATAACGTATAAAATATATTTTATTTTAGGAATACATCATGCAGTCGTGGCTGGTTACGACTAGTTGTTCAAATAACATTCGGTGTTATCACAGTGGTCAGTTTTATTCTGATAGTCCTTATGGCGTACCGTGGTCCAATACAAAGACCTCCCTCAAATAATAACCGTTGTAAAGCAGATAGTTGCAGAGTTGTGTGTTATAATGCACCTTATTATAACAGTTATGAAGAAGATATTATAAATACTGCAATAGTAAGTGATTAACTAATTTTTATATAAATAATTATTAAAAGAATAAAAATTAATACGAGTAATTGTTTCTTACAGGATACGGAATCAAACTGTGAAAGAATGTTTTTGACATTGAAAAATCCTATGTTCGTTAATTCTACGCTACCATTAAATTGGTTATCTGGTTTGCGATCTAAAATACGTTCATTAACTGTTATAGGAGGAAATCTAAAACATATACCTCCCAACTCTTTTATGAGTACATTTGCTAGCAATGTTAGGACTTTGTCTCTCGAAGATGTAACATTAACCACTTGGTTACCAGAAACTTTTATAGGTCTATCTAATATTCAAGAGCTGTTGATTAAAAACACCAAACTATTAACTATTCATTCCAGTGCATTAAAAACAATTGATGATACTTTAACTACTTTAGATATCAAGGCCAATAATATATGGAATCCTATAAACGTAACTGGTTCAGCTAACCCTGTCAAACTGACTACAGTGGATTTTTCTAGAAATATATTTATAGATATACTAAACAAGAATAGCTTTTCTCAATTACAAAATTGTAAAATATTATATCTGAACTCATGTAAAATCTCTGTTATAGCTAACGGCACATTTGATAATTTGTTAAACATAGAAATTTTATTTCTTAATAATAATTATATCCATACCGTTCCTGATGGTTTATTTAAACAAATATTGACTCTAAAACATAAACCACGGATCAATTTACAAGACAATCCCTGGAGATGTGAATGTACGATAAATGATTTAAGGAAATTGCACATACATGATCTATTGATTGTTGAACCAACATGTTACTATCCCAAGGAAGTACGAGGATTAACGTTTTCTGAATTTGAAAATTATTGTTCATCCAATGATTCAAAAACACAAATTATCGTACCAGATACAAACGATAATGAACACTTTAATAGGAGCAATCAAACTTTAAACATTGAGAATAAACTATCGTGCGATTACGACACTGAAGTTGACTACGAAATGACACCTTTGATTTCAACCTCTAATAAATATCGTTGTTCAAGCTACAGAGTACAGAATTACAAATTAATACCGACAGTTTCAAATAGCCTATGCGATCTGTTTTCTACAGACAACAAATGGCTTAAGCCTGTTTTTTATTCGAAAAGTCAACCACAGTCAGTAATAGAAATATCTTCATACGGACCTTCTAATTACGGCTTACTATGGTATAGAGCAAACTGTCCACTGGAAATATACTGTGTTTCCAGTTTACCTCAAGTGCTTAGAATTTTTAATGCAGATAAAAACAATCATTACGTATTTTGCCGGTTTTATAATAAAACAGTATTGACTGATGAATGTGTTGTTTACAATTTTTCAAAATCTGAACAACCGTATCGAAGAAACCCTATATACTTATTATGTACAATAACAGCTATCGTTTGTCTGTCATTCGGTGCTCTTATAGTTTACGGTTTAATTCGTAAAAATCCTGGACTATTGAAAGGAAGCAAAAGAGTACTTTTTGTGAAACATAAACAAGTTGATGCATTGGTTCTTCCACCTAAAGTACCTTTAAGAAACAATCAGATGAAAGAAGCATATTTTTCAAAGAATAGCAATAGGAATATATTTATAATGTCACCTGATTTGAATAATTTACCGATGAAATTTACAAGAATGAATTCAACGAGAAGTACCAACAGTAGTAACCCCAGTTATATTTCGGCGATACAACCGAGTGAGGATCAACTTGCACAATGGCGATTAAAGCATTATTTGGAGAAACAATCTACCGTACATTCCCTTGATTCATGTACGTCCTCAATATCTTGGATTTATGACGCTGATACTGTACCGTATTTTCCACTTGATTCTAAAGAACCGACTTATGAAATTGTTAAAAAGATGTAATCGTTCTTTACATTTTAATTTTTATCGTCACAAATTTTGGCAGCTCTTAGTGTAAACATTACATTTATAATTTACGTATTATGTACAACTGCACTTGGGAAATGGTTTTCCAACTCTCATTACATAAAATATGTTTTTATAATGTTTTATATACATCATATATTATGTAATCACATCTAAATTATGCGTATTTGACATTTATATAACCAAATAAACGTATATGGTGAAAATAAATTTTGTTTCATTTTTAAGTTATTTTAAATTTCCAAATTCCTTCTACGTCTTAAAAAAACAAATAATAACTCATGCAATTATGTAACGTAAGCGGTTATGCATGAGACATTTGTTCGAGTCACGTATGTGACAGCCACAAGCCTCGGCCACGGGTACATTGTCATAACGAGGACGACATGATACCCTCATAATGATAATACAGCTGTTTGAGACGTTTGAGCTAAACTTACATAGGTATTATCTTAACTATTAGTCATATGCACGGCTATAGAAACCGTATACGTAGACTAAAACAACTATACGGTTTATTCTTCTGCAGTGTTTCGTGTAAATTTGGTTCTTGTGCGTTCCTTTGGAGAATTTATAGTGGAAGTTTTAGTGAGTCCATACTCTTATAACTCTGTTTCATCCTACGGTAGGTTTTGCAGACTTCTTCTGGACACGAATATTTTATGTATAACAATTCTATCTAAATATAATTCTATCGTTTTTAAAATTATGTGGTCATTGCAAACCTAAAGCTGAGAGCTCAAGGAGTTAAAATATAGGGATTGAAGGTTGCGTACGGTTTGACACATCAAGATTGCATGATTCCATTTGATTAAGGTTGTACGGGATCAGTCTAGGGCTGAACAGATAAAGGGACAAGTAATGAGTAAACAAATATATTCGTAGAAGTGAAAATCGCGAAAAGAAATAAAGTCATATAAGGTTTTAGTTCTAAGACCTAATATTTCCAAACATTTATTTTATAAATGGAACAATAATAAATATGAGATATCTTAATTATTGTTTTGGGTGTTGTTACTAAGAAATTATCAACTTCAAAAGAGTAGTTTTGCCGCCAACAATAGTTGGAAACGAACTACAATATTATTGGCGCACTCTTCAGTTTTCCGGTGAAACGAACAATGCATTTGGCAGTCGCATTCTTACGACAGACGGCTGCTATTTTATACTCTTAAATATGACAGGAAACAAAAATCATTGGTAGTAAACACGTAATATTGTATCTGCAAGACCATTAGAACGAGTTTTTTTAATTGAGACTATGCGTATTACCGTAAATCTTCGCTGACGTCACAATTGTTTACATATTGTGGTCCCTTTCATTTTTGCAACATGAAACAAAACATGTGCCACGACAATCGAAACCCAGTGTAAAAACGTTAAATTTGAATAACAAAGTAATGTTTATTGCCATGCTATTATCGTTCACTGAGTCAGTGTGTCAATTTGCGTAATACAAGCTGTTGCCCGAGACTCCTCCTGGGAGGAATTTAACATTGTTGTAACTACGTGTTCTTTCAGATTATGTTCTTTATGTATGCCAAGTTTCATTGAGATCCGTTCAACCGGTCTAGAGATACCTTCTAACAGACATCCATCTATACATTCATTTTTTAGTAATATTTATAACAATTTATTTATGAGCATCTGTTAATGAGATGATGCGATTATATAAAACATTAATTGGATGTGGACACAGCCGTACGTCCGCATCGAGTGCCTTGCCAAGTTTAATTGATGTGCTTTTAAGAAGATGATTGTAACTGATGTTTTTAATTGCAAAGGCCCAACAATATAGGGATATTGTCCCTGTAATAAAAATAACTAAAAGTAACACATTCCAGTAATAGTAAACACTAAGTACAGGTACACATCGCTATGAACATGTATGCAAGAATTATGTCATATAAATCGGCAGCTGTACGTTCTCAAATTACCGAAAATAAGTTATCCATGATGCTATAGTCAAAGTCAAATTATAAATTGACTAGCTGTCGCCCGCGACTCTGTTCTAGATCTGTGTGAAATTTCATCAAAATTCTTTGAGCCGTTCCGGAGATACTTTTAAATAAACATTTTTTTTATATCATAAGGTGGCAAACGAGCGAGCGACCTCATGAAATAGCTGAAATAGCGAAGTGACCGTTGCCCATAGACATACGCAATTGCATATGAGTTGCCTACCTTTAATCGTAAAGTCCACTTCCACTTCCCATCCTTATAAGAAAAAGTGTAGGAAGGGAAAGAGGACTAAATTAGGCCTCCAGGACGCACACTCATCAGACGAAACGCGGAATTACTTCCACTTCACGCCTGTCTTCTGTGTGGTCGTGGTATTTCACCGGGCGAGCCGGGCCAATTCACGCGAAGATGTTAAAGTGGGCTCTACCACTGTTAAATAGACATAAAACATCCATCCATCTAAACATTCGCATTTATAATATTAGTAAGATTAACACATAATTTGATTGTAACCACGTGACATTTCAATAAGTCGCAGTTTAAAAATAACAATGTAATTTTGTTTGTCTTCCGACCACTTCTTGTGAATGAGAAAAGTTATAATATTTCAAAGGAATGACATTTGAAACTTATCTGGCGGTTCTCAGTCACGTTCCTGCTTTACTATTGTTTGCAGATTGCTCTTTCTGTACAAAATATAACCGATCATATTATAGCTGCTTGTTAAAATATATTGAAAGATAAGTAGAAGATTTCACTCATTTCATTATTATTTAACATAAATAATGACAAAAATTAGAATCAATGGATCAATATATGGGCGCTTATTACATTAATACGAAATATCGAAATACAGTTCTGGTCTTTCCAAGTGATATTTCCAAATTAATCTTTCTATTCTTACTTCTTACTAATATTATAAATACGAATGTTATGGATGGATGGATGTTTCTTTGAAGGTATCTCTACAACAGCAGAACGGCTCTCGATGAAATTCGACATAAAGAACTTAGTCTGGAAAAATACATAGGCTACTAATTATCTTTTTTTTTAATTACGCGCAGACGGAGACGGAGGACGACAGCTAGTCTTAAAATAAATTTTGTTTGCGTAAATATCTGATGATATTGCATATAGTAATCTGGGACACGATTCAGAAGCTAAGTAATCTGTCATCAAAGCGGGCATTAACAAGTCAATATGACATTAGAGTTTGTACCCTGGGGTAAAACATTCGCTCTAGTTACGCGCAAATTTAATTATCTGTCAAAACGTGACTTATCAAGCTGAATGTAGTGGCCTTTAAGTCCTATCGATTAGAAAATTAAGCAATTTAAAGCGCCCTTAAGTAGCTTGATCCTTGAATATTAATTTAGTACAAACTTTGTTAGATCAAAAGTGGACAGATGACGTGTTTTGAATAGACAAATAGATTTGAACAATACTATGTCCATCCATCACATCCATACATTATTATAAAAACGTCTAAACTTTACAAATTTCAAGCTTCTAAGTTCAATTGGTATAAATAGTAAACAGAAAATATAAATTTCCTAACTTTAAATCATGGATATAGTTAATATTTATTTAAACTTTATTTAAATTGTATGTCGTAACAAAACTTTAGTTCCGGCCAGTTAACATATTGGCAAATCAATTAAGATTTTTTGTTTCAAACTATGGCATTCATCCAATACTAAATGTATAATTAATCTGTTTGCAATAAATTAATGACAGGGAACATAAAACAAGAATTAATACTACTCTGGTTGTTCATATCACTCAGATTCGATGGCCGTGCGTAAATAATTAATATGTGACATGTAAAAGAAGAGATGTAGACGCCAAGGCGATTGTGCAGTTTTGAAATGGCTTGGAAAAATGTGTCCCGAAGCGGAGGCGAGCCAAGCTTTGTGTCAGGCGCACGCTCGCGGCTAGTTGTTTAGTTCGTTCAGTGAAAATGAGACGCCACGTCCACTGATATTGAAAATTCACCGCGTTCAAGAAAATAAATCTGAAGTTTTTCATACTATAAGCTTTACAATAAACATACTTTTTAGTGTTTCATATCTCTAACATGGTAAGATTTTTAGCTTTTTAAGTTTTGTAATGATTATAGTCCTAAATATATTTCGTTTAATATTATTTCTACATGAAATTACTCGAATAGGAATATCCAATTCTATTAAATGCGAAGCCCTGATAGATGACAAATACAATAACTTGTCACTTCACTTGGTCACGAACATTAAGCTGTAATAAATAATAAAAAAAATCCCAAGTTCAAAATTATTTGTCAAGTTTTATGAAGTGTACGTAATATTTCTTTCAGGAGGACCTCGACAAAGAACAAATCAACAGTGAGTTTTATTATTTATTTACATCAAATACACGAGCAGATCTTTAATTCAAATAAACATATTATTTAGAAAGGTATTGTTGTTTGAGTTAATAGAACTGTCTCTATAGAATTGTGAAACAAAACAAGATATTGGAATTTAAGAATATAACGAAAACCTTCAAATCAAAGTTTTGTTTCATATTTGTTTATAGTTTTGAAGAAAGCTTTTGAAGCATTCGACCAAGAGAAAAAGGGTTGTATAGGAACAGTCATGGTGGGTACAATCCTAGGCATGCTGGGGCACCAGGTCTCTGACGAAAGTCTTCAAGAAATCATTACCGAGGTAGATGTTGATGGTAAGTCGTTATCACTTAGCGGTTAGAAGCGCGTCATCGCGCCACACGCAGCAAATTGGTAATTTAAAAAAAAAAGTGTTTGAGTGATGGGATAGTATAATTAAGTAATTAAAAAAGTAATTTGAAAGTACATTTATCCGATGCCCTTACGGTGAAGGATAAACATCGCGATGCAACCTGCATAATTAAAATTCAAAGATATGTGTAAAGTCGACTATGGTCTACTCACCCCTAACATAGGGTAGGCTCCGAACCCCTCAGTGGGGACGTATAGTGAGCTGATGACGAATTTGAATGCTTATCTTTTAGGTTCTGGTGAATTGGAGTTTGAAGAATTTGTAACATTAGCATCACGGTTCATGGTGGAAGAAGACGCGGAAGCAATGCAACAAGAACTAAAAGAGGCATTCCGTTTATACGATAAAGAAGGTATTTAATATTAAATACCTTACCTTAGTAATATTACTATTAGTAAAATAAAGGAATCTGTGCCATTACCATTCAAAAGTTTACTTTTAAACTCTTTGTTAAATGTAATACAACTTAATCTTAAACGTTATCTATAACAAATCATGGATTTAATTCTTCTGCATAATATTAGTGCTAAGTTCAATTTTGTTAAACAACTAATCACAATACGTATAAAACCATTACTTTCATGAATAGATCGTTATTTTCGCTTACAATGTTTCAGCTAAAAGCTAATGTTTATTTTAGTTAGTGTTGCGGTATTTTCTATAATAATTTCTAGCAATCACTAAATTGATATAAATGCTTTAATGCCTCTGTTTATGAAAGCGCTGCTTTTCATTGTTAACAAACTATTTTAGTTCAACATTTACTTATTTGAAATAGAATAGTTTCATAACTGATACTACGACTTCATTGGAGCTTAAATCATCTTTCTTAGAAGAACCGCTTATTAATACTTAAAGTTCTTTGCTAATAACCTGGATAGGATTATTACGTAAACCGTACTAATATTATAAATGCGTATGTTTAGATGGATGGATGGATGTTTGAAGATATCTCCAGAACACCTGAAACGATCTGGATGAAATTTAGCACAAATATAGAACACAGTCTGCAATTACACATAGGCTACTTATCACATTTTTTTAAATTCCGCGGTGACGCGCGGGCGACAGCTAGTAATATAAAAATTTGGTTGGTTACAGTGATGAGTGTATGAGCGTATGAGTTGTAAGAGTGACTTGATAAGCCTCACAATAAAGTATTTAATTTTATGAAAGAAGAGTGAATTAAAAATCCTTACCAATTGATGAAATTTGTTGAATTTATGATTTATTTTGATTTACGTCAAGCTGATGATTAACTTTATATCTTTCAGGTAATGGTTACATCACAACTACAGTATTAAGAGAGATCCTAAGAGAATTAGATGATAAAATCAGCGCTGAAGAATTGGATATGATGATTGAAGAAATTGATTCTGATGGTTCAGGAACCGTTGACTTTGATGGTAGGTTATTTAATTTTAAGCTAAGCCTAAGTTATAAGTATCCACTAGCGACTAACATAATTATAAAAAAATAACAATATTGGTATTACTTATATACATAACTACTAATTTAAAAGTTTGAGTCCTAACATTTATTTCATTCGACATTGATTGTTTTTAATGATTACAGATTATAAATCGTTACAATTTTATTTTATAGAGTATATTTAAAGGAGAATATGTAAAGGGATTTGGGCTTTGGGATTATGAGCAATATTTAAAGAGATTTGCGTTAGTTACTATATATAAAGCTCTCTATATTTGAACTATTTTCAGAATTCATGGAAGTGATGACGGGAGGAGACGACTAAATATAAGCAAAATAAGTAACATACATTTTTATATCTATTGAAATGTCATAATAACGTTCCTAAAGCGCTAATAAATATTTTTGTTATATAAATCTGTTGTTTAATTTTTCAAAGAAATGATTTCACATTGCGTAATATTACTTTTTTATGTATCAATTTAACAAATCTTTAGACTACCTTTTCGGGTAATTAGCATCAAAAGATATTTCATAAAATCACAAACGTAACAACCTTTGTTGTAGATTCAATGATTCAAGATTGTACTATCCCTAGAAATTACTTCAAAAGGCATCACTTCATAACAAAGCTAGAATTCTACGATTAAACATCACTAAGTTATCGTAACCAATTTTTTTTATTTTAAATACTATGTAACAATAATTCTGATTAAAATACATTTTGAAAAATATGTTCAATAAAACGGTATCATTCTAATCAAATAATCCTTTGAATATTTGATATCTATAGCGCCGTGATTGCAGCTGCATTTTACAAGATTTTCTCCTAGCGTGTAACGAATCATATCCCATATATAGTTGATTGAAATTGACGACAATGAAATAAAAATCACGCTCCGATAACTTATTTAAATTTACAACAGAACTGTGTATCAAAGCTTTGAATATAGAAGTAAAGTTTATGGGAAAATGTCCTATGTCTCGTAGACTGGAAGATCATTTGAGTATATTCAGTTTACTGATTCCTTCAAATTTTCCTAGAAACTAGAGCGTAGGACTGCGAAGATTATTTCCTTTGTAATATTATAATATATAAATGATACAAAATGAGAGAAGATTTTATAGAAACAATTAGAGTAAGAAAAAGTGAGATAAAATGTTATGTATTATAATATCCTTGTATATGTAACAAAAAATTATAATTTTTATAAGCAGTATCGTCACCCGAGACGAGCGTGAAAAGTGCTTAGAAAATTTATTTACCTTTCGCTCCTGAATACATTTACCCACTATTCCCGTCATGTCGGCTGTAATACACACATTTACGGCACTTCTGAGTACACGAGCTCTCAGCCCGGATCATTTTTAAGGGCGAACCCGTGTCTATCTCGCTTTTGGTAATGTTGACATTTTTTCGATGTTGTATATGAAAATTTCTCTTACTAATATACATTACCTTTAAATCTTTATAGAAGATAAAAATGCAGTTAGAACGAATTTGATTTATTTTTTTATATCATAAAGTGGCAAGGTGATCGTTTACCTGATTAGCTGAAATAGTGAACCGACCGCTACCCGTAGACAATCGCTATTGCAGATGCGTTGCCTATCTTTCATCGACGGAGGAAGGAACGACCAGAAAAATAATATTTCCCCTTCCTATGCGTCCCCTCTTTGATAAAGCCCCATTCCCTTCCTATCCATTCCCTCAGAAGAAAAGAGCGGGAAGAGGACTAAAATTAGGTTTATTTGAAATATCAGATACTTTTAACTCAATCATTGCCTTCAGTCTACACATACGAAGGTGGGTTTGTAGTAAATAAATTAATTTGCTTAAAGTAATATTCGGTTCTCAAATTTCCGCATACGTCGTACGAATTGGAGCGATGTGCGGTGTCGACGTTCGTTAGATTCAATTCGTTTGCAAATTCATTATACTTGTTTCTAAAGTGAAAACATAATACCTACGTGTCGCACAGAAAGCGGTCCCACGTATGACGGCTAAATATATTTCATACATGTTTCAGTTTTAAATGTATTTAGTTAATAATAGTACATTTAAATGTAACATTTATTTTTAATCTTTCCTATGAAAAATAGGTAATTATGATATGTTTTTTTACAAAACTAAATAAAGAATATGTTTTAACCAGATTTAAACAGTAAAGTAAGGTAAAATTTGGACAGTGTGTTTATTATATGCCGTGACTTTTGGACATTATTTTGCTGATAACAATTCGATTTGTATCCAAGCAGCTTTTTTCCTCTTAGATTTATTACATGACATATTAGGGTTGCTTTACACGGGCTGTTTTCAATATTCGGTTTCCCAGAGTCAAGCAGTCGGCGTATGGTATTAAAATATGATCAAGAGTGACATACTATGCCATAAAAATATCCGAAAAATATCTGAAGTAGAGCTTTAGCCGTGTCCTGACCTATGTTTATGACTAGTCATAAAAGATTTACAACCGCAGGTATTTACGAGATATATGAAAGTAGCTTACAAGTGTAGATGAAATTTTGGTTAACAATAATCATGAAGATAATTTTGTACAAATACAGATGTTACGTTGAGCTGGTGGCCTACCTCCAGTAATGGAGAGGCATCAGAAGATGTTACTAATATCATAAATGCGAATGTTTGTATGGATGGATGTTTGTTAGAGGGAGTTTAGGGAACGGCTCAACGCATCTTGATGTTTGGCACAGATGTAGAACATAGTGTGCAAGAGTTTTATTTTTATTTTAAATTACACGCGGACGGAGACGCGGGCGACAGCTAGTATTCAAAAAACCATTGACATAATGTTGTTTGGCTAAAATTTGAAACTTTAACTCGTAGATTTCAGTTTAAGTTAGCTTGAGAAGCTCAGTCGCTAGATTTATCTAATTGAGTTGCCTGGAATGCTAGTAACGTATTTGTGATAATTAACAAGTATTTTTATTTGTTTTTTAATCTACATTTAGGTGCAAACTGGAAAAGGGGAGGTCTCAAGAAGGTACACTGCTATGTTTGTAAGTTTCCTCGTTATTTGTTAGGAACAAACTTCGACAATAAATTTCGCGACGAAGGCGCTGTGTGGAATAGATACTTGTCTAGATAAACATGGAAACTATCGTATTTTCAAGATTTTATTCTTTAAACGTTGTCAAAATACAACTCTACAAAAACGGACTGATAAAATCACATTCAGCCAATAAGTAACAAATCTTTTCACACTAATGTTAATGCAACAGTTAATGGATGGATAGTATCTCCAGACTGGCTCAAATTAAATTAAATTAGGTATGGATGTAGATGTGTAATTCCGCGCGGACGGACTCACGGGCAATAGCTAGTGATTTTATATATTAAAAATAGTTGATAATATCGCCCTTGTTTCGTAGATTGGCAGCGAGGTGCGACACGCTTCACTAATGGTCGACTAAACGCAAGTGCATCAGATCTTATCGGCACACTAACTGATGACTCCAATCAATCATTATTGTGATTTATTTGCAGTCATTTGTTCTGTACAGTCACACACATATTATTAATATAAGCGTCTTATTGCGATGACATAATGGATATAAGTAACATCAAACTTATTAATATATGAGGTTACTAGCTGTTGCACGCGACTTCTTCCACACGATATTAAAAAAAAAAACTTAATAAGTAGCCTTTGTGTTCTCAAGACTATGTTAAATATGTGTGCTAAATTTCATAGAAACCCGTTGAGAGGTTCCGGAGATGCTTTCAAACAATCGTCCATCCATCCCTCTAAACATTCGCATTAGTAAAATAGTGAAATTAAACTGGAGTGTGTTTCAAAAAAGTCATCTATGTATTAGTTAATTTTAATGAAAAAATTATTTTTAAAAATGTTTTTGTCCGCTGACAGTCACGGGGAACCTCTAGTATATATATAAATTTCCTGTAATTCAGAGTTAAAAAAAAATCAAAGAGTAAAATTAAATGTAACTAGTTTTCTAAAACGTCCTGGACCAAGGCTAAAATTACTTTAATTTCTAAGTTCAGCCAGTTATAGCCGAATGTATTGAACAAAATTGTACTTTGTAAAAAAACTTTCTCCAATGTAATTTACTTTATTTTATAAAAGTCTACACTTCTCATAATAGATGGCGCTTTACGTATTTTGATTCTGACTACAATAGATAGATGGCGCTAATTTACAAACAAAAGAAGTTAATTATATTTTAGGCAGTTAAAGTATAAAAAGTGGAAAAGTAATGATATAAGTTTAATATTAATAATTAAGAAAAAAATAAATAAGCTTTAACTACATGACATAGCAATATAACAAAAAAACATAATTAAAAATCTTGGTTTGCAGAATATAAAACTTTTAAACATAATAAAATGCAATAAAAATAATAAAAATTTAGCCTCACCGTGACAATGTTTTCACATTGCCGTGACCAGGATTCGAACCTGGGTTACTACGGCCACAACGTAGGGTCCTAACCACTAGACGATCACGGCTATTGAGACATGCATACAGTCGTTCAATTTATAAATATCAAGTTACAGTGACCATTATAGGTGAATGTTATCTATTGTTATTTTTTAGCTGTAAGTGGAAATAAATAAATGAACTTGTTGATGCATAGAATTCTTAAAACTAATTTCGACGCTCATTTTGCCCACGTGCAAATATAACTGTTACTTTGTTGGATTTGCATTATTTAACATTTTATGGTATAAATATATCACTATTATTATAAATCCGAATTATATATAAATGTATGGATTGATGTTTGTTAGAAGGTCTATTTAGAACGTTTGCATCGATCTCGCTGAAATTTGGCATAAATATAAAACATAGCTTGGATGAACACATAGGCTACTATATTTTTTAAATTCCGCGAGTACGTAGTCGTGGGCGTCAGCAAGTATTGTAATAAAATCAACTGAAGTATTCGCTTTTTAATGCATTTGGCCTAGATAGAAAGAAATTTATTTTTTCTTTGTAGAAATAACAAAGATACTACGCGAAACCGTTACTTAGTGTAGGTTACCTAAATTGAATTCGATCAGTAGACCGTGGATCTGACAATTTAGGTTTTAGGCGTCGTTTTACTTCTTTTCAATTATTTGTTTTCACGTCTTGAGATTCTACGGAAAAAATTTTAGTCAACCTAAAAACGTTTCATTTATATCACAAAAGCTTTTTATTCGAAATAAAAATCAACATAAAAAATTGTATGGATTGTTCCAAAAAAAACACCAAGTATTAGATTGTCGCTTAGAAATATTACATAACAAAATCAAATACTATAAAGCCTTAACATTACCGTTAAATACATTTGTTTAGGTTACTTATATAATATCAATTACTCTCAGCTTTATAGGCCTTCCAATTTCAAAACGGTAACGAA